TTTAGTGTAATCAAACAATCAATCTCTTCTTTGCAATCTTGTGATCCACTAGAGTCGAAGTTAAATTCTAACACGTATAATCCCTTAAGATGATCCCTACTCAGTCTTGTTACGTTAGTAATAGTGATTTTTATAAATTCAAACTTGGCCAGTCTTTAACACATTTCAATTTGTTGCCTGTGACAGACCCCATTCATTGAATACTTAATTGTCCTTTTTTAGAATATCTGATGTGGCTTATTTTTTAATTTCCTTTCCAACAAATTTCCAATTCTTTTGAACTTCTTAGATGATGGTTTAGCTTGTGGAACTTTGTTACCACCTTTAGATTGGATTGACGAGATATTACGCACTAAAGTAGAGAAGATTTTGGAAACTTCTCAGGGGAAAGAGAAATCAAAAGGGTCTTATGTTTCTAGTGAGAATCAACTTCTCCTTTTAAGGTCACTCCCATGAACAAGCTGAGTTGATCTGCAGATACAGTCCCCGTAGGAGCAATAATAGTACACGTGTTTGCAATCCCACAAGAGAATTTATAATGGATCTCTTGTACCGCCAACAACCCAGGTCTCTTTTGCAATCTCAAAAGATAATTTATACGAGTCTGTCATATCGCATCACCACTAAGTTCTCTTTCTTCTTTCTCTTCTTCTTCTCCTCCTTCATCAACATCATCATCATCTTCTTCTCTTTCTTCTAACCAGCTTTTCGCTGGAGCGGACCGACAACGCACGAGCAAGTATGCATTTGATGGTGGTGCACATGGTGCACTATAAACCCTATCTCTTGCTTTACTTTCGTCTTTCCATGAGCCATTTAGAGAAGACAGTTCTTGAAGTTTAATCTCCATCAATTCCTTCAGGATCCACTTGGTTTTCATGATACTATTCCTCATCCTCATCATCATCATCTGAAGTGATTTCAGATGCATGAAAAGATCCAAAACAATGAAGATGCTTCGTAAGCGTGTTAAGAACTGCGTGACATCTTTTTTGATTCCCAATGCTTCCACCCAACTAGGTTTTTTTTTCTCGTGTTTCCTGTTGTTGTGAAGCCTTTCAATCTCTTGCATCACTGATTGCCAATTCCTGCATTAACTGGGTGTGGGCCTGACCTTGATCTATCCCGCGCGTGTGACTTTCGGGGATGTTGGTTCGGAGATCTCCAAGGCCATTGGTTTGGTTTTGCCCGTAAGAGTGGGCTGGCTTGGCCGCCACCACCACCTCTATTGCCAGCTTTCTTGATGCAGTGTTGGTGGTGGCGGTGGTGGGAGTGGTGGCACTTATTGGGTTCTGAAGGCCTTGATGGGCTTTGGCATTAAGGTTAAAAGGGCTCTAGTAGGAAAAGATACTAATAGATGTGTTGAAGGTGCTCGTTTGACTTGATCTCTTCTTTTCATGGTCTTTTTTATTTCTTCTTTTATGTTCTGTTGATTTCTCTGCTTCAGATCTAGTGTCTCGTCAAACTCTATGAATGGTCTTTGAATTTTCAGCTGTCTTCAGGTGGGTGTTTTAAAAGCAGAACATCAATTTACAGCTCGTCTTTGTTAGTGCCTTTTTTTCTGTATGTCCAAAGACTTCACCATCTCTTTGTTCATTTTTCTAACACCCCTTTTTGCTCTCTTTGGACTAGGGTCACAAGTGAACTTCTTCCTTTCCCTTTGCTTCTTTCCACCCCCTCCCTCTCTCTCAACTTGTGAGCCCCAATGGGGTGTTGCTGATGGCTTCAAAAGCAATTGCCGGTCAGACCCGAGGCTTCCAGACCTTCACCTCCCACATCTCTGTAGTTGCAGTCCTAGCTTATTAACCATTTCACCTTCACTTGGAAAGAAGACCTTGTCCAACAACTTTTCAATCAAAGGGATAGCACGCTCATTCTCCAACTACCTCTAAAGTAACAAGAGGCACAGATTCTTTAATCTGGAATGCTATGCCAAATGGTCAATTCTCAGTTAAGAGTGCTTAAATGGTGACTTTGCCTTTAAACATAGCACCCCATTCCCACATCTCAACCCTCTAGCGGCCATGCTCAAGAATTCAAGCCTCGATGGAAGAATATATATATATATATATATAAAAAATAAGATTACCTGTTCTATCTAATCTCAAATTCAGAGGCGTTGTTGATGATGACCACATGCGAAGTTATCCATCTTTAGTCTTCTCTGCAAATGCCCATCCTCCTAATTAGTTTGGCATCTCAGCCCTCTCCAGCTCCAATTCGACTCTTATCAATTTTCTCCATTGGGTTCAACAATGGTAGAACCTCTTGGACTTATGGTATCCTCATCCAAACTCTCAGGATCTCCCGAGCCTTGGATCCTACATATGCTGGCAAATTTGGAAAGGCCGAAACAATCTTCACTCCGGCTCCAAAAATTGGGATCCTAAAGCCATTCTCGACAGAGATTTGCAGAACTAACATGAATTCAATGATCTTTCCAATGAACTAGGGAGAGGGGAGATTTGAACACAGATACACCCGTTCGGGAATCTAGACGCTCTATCAATTAGGTATATATATATATATATATATGTATCTATATGTATGTATATATTACATATACATATAGATATATGTCAAAAGGAAGTTGATCATGAGCTCTCAACACCCTCCTTTCCATACAACTCCCCTACCTCCCAGGCCCCAAATCCAACCCAGTAAATGCACATCCTCCACACCTGCAAACCACACCACAACTGCGTCACCTGCTGGAGAACTTTCTTCTTCTCATAATGAGAACCCCTTTAAACCCACTGACCAAGCTCTACCACTTACACCAGAACGGGACAGTCCTCCTGAGTACACACAGCCAAAGGAAGGATTAGCAACCTCGGATGATGACATCCTACGAGCCACTGAAGAAAGAAGGTCAGGCCAAATGTTGACAATTGAACAGAATTAATGGAGAAGGGTTTCATTGCTATTGAAAAATGGACTTGGTAAATACACCCCGACTTTAAAATATTGAGAAGAGGTGTATGTGGTTCACCATTCCACACCCCGTTGGGTCCGGACCGGAATATGGGTGGGGTGATATCGTTACGGGCCGATTTAGCGTTGTGATAAAAAATTCACACCGAAACTGGCCATTTTATCGGTTTAGCAGTGTGATAAAAAATTCACACCGAAACCGGCCAATTTTAACGGTTTATCGGCGATATTCCGACTCAGCTAGCCGGTTCCCCTGGAACCCAACCCAACAAGCCAGATACAGTTTCTTGGCAAAAATTGTGCAATAAATTTATTTAAGGGTTTTCTTATGTAAAGCTCCATTAAATCCTGTCCATTTATTGAACTATTATTTGAAATGCATGCCCTCTAACGAAATACTACAACATTAATATTTATTAATTTATTTTAAAATCTTAAAAATATAAAGCAGAATATTATACTTGTTTTAGAATATTAAAAGGGTTGTTTGAACTTATATTATATTTTTTAATTTATATATTTTTTCTTTTAACATGTTAAATATGGTATAAATATTTATTATTTTATTTTTAAATCTAATAATATTCATTGATTTAATAATAATATATAATTACTAAGTTTTTTAATAAAGACATTGACTTACAATTTATAAATAAATCATTACTCTTACTAAGTGGTCTTAAAAAATTTAATAAAATTAAAAAAAGAAAAGAAAAAAAAAGAAGCATTTTTATCAAAATATGTTGTAAAAAATTGATGCATTTCGGACATTATGTGCGAAGTTAGAAACAAATTCACAATTGTAATAACCGATTTCGTAACATCGATACAAGTCCGATTCCGTTATATCGCGTTTAAGTTTATGAAGAATAACACAAATATATAAAGTTTTATGTTCATAATTCTAATATAGTTTTGTAAATTTCGACATCATAAAACTGGGGTTTGCAATAAAACACGAATGTTTTTAATTTCGGTGGAGTATATAAATTTCATAACATAATAGTGGTAAAATTTTAATAACATAGGACCAGCCCACCTAATGCTAGGGCCAGGAGGCCCAGGACTTTCACAAAATCAGATATTTTCAGACCATAGGACCAGCCCACCTAATGCTAATCCAGTAGGCCCAAGACTTTCACTAAATCAGACATTTTCAGACCAAGGCCTTAAAACCTCTAGTTGTAAAGCTGAAGAACCCAGCGGACATAGCTTACAACCAGGTTTAGGGCAACACTCTTCATCCTTCAAACACTTTGAGAGAACCAGAGAGAGAAAATCGAATCACTGCGAATCCATGAAGCTCCCCACTTTACAGGCAAGTACTCATCTCTAAACTCTTTGCTTTGATTGAAAACATATATATATCATTGTGTTTCTTCAAGAAATGACTATATATATCTGCAAAAGTCTCATCTCTCTCTCTCTCAACAACTCTTCACATCTAAACAAAACTCGAATCTCTCTTCTCTCTCTCCGCTTCTTCTCCTCCTCTCCTAAAGCCCCCATTGCCGTGGCCGATTACTTGCTTAATAGACACAAATTTTCTCCTGAAACTGCTTCGAAAGTCTCTTCCTTCGTAAAGTATGTGAAAAGGCCTGAAGAGACCGATTCGATTCTCTCATTTCTCCAGGAAAGTGGTTTTTCGGATTCCCATCTCGAGCTCGTCATCAAACGCCGTCCTCAAGTTCTCTCTGCAAATCTTGAGCGCACCATCAAACCCAAATTCAAGTTTTTTCAGGACTTGGGTTTATCTTCTAGCGTCTTTGTGGAAATTGTTTCGTCTAATCCATGTATTCTAACCACTAGCGTTGATAATCGGCTTGGCCCGTCGATTTTAGCATTGAAGAGTGTTTTGGGTTCGAATATGAATGATGTGTCTAGGCTTTTAAAGAAATCTGGGTGGTTTTTGACGCATGATTTGACGAAAACTCTGATACCCAATATTGAATTTTTGAAGAGTTGTGGTATTTGTTCGTCGCAAATAGCTCGATGTGTCTACTTACACAACACTTTTCTTGCATAAACAGACGAGAATTAGAGAATATGTCAAGAGGGTTGATGAGATGGGCATTGACAGGAAGTCTAAGTTGTTTGTTCATGCGATTCGGGCTATTAGTTCGATGACTAGAGAGAATTGGGAGTTGAAATTGGGGCTCTTTAAGAGTTTGGGGTTTTTAGAAGATGACATTTTGTCGGTTTTTAGGAGGGCGCCTCTGGTGTTTTGTGTGTCAGGGAGGAAAATTAAGGGGATGACACAGTTTTTGTTTAGCACGGGCAAATGTGATATCTCATATGTTGTTAATAACCCAGTCATACTTACTTGCAGTGTTGAGAATAGGCTCAAACCACGGCTGAGAGTTCTGGAGGTTTTGGAAAGGAGGAATTTGGTTCTAAAAAAGCCTAGTTTGAGGACTGTTTGCTCGATGACTGATGAGAAGTTCTTGCATAATTATGTACTCCCTTATTCAGATGAAGTTGGTGAATTATTGACAGCAAGGCCTCATTGACATATGTACTCCCTTAACAACGCCTCATTGACAGCAGAAATATGTGCTTAAGATCATGACATCCTTATAATCTCATTGAGGCCTTGGCGGCATAGCATATCAGGTAAGTAGGGATGCTCTTTTGCGCTGGATATACACATTTTTTCTTGTATCCATACGGTGTACTACTCAGAAAAACGTTGATTAAATTTCCAGCTGCTGTCTCATTTCAAATGTGTTGAAAATGTATCCTTAATTTAACATTGTACTCTCTGTTTTTTTTTTTTTTTTTTTTTTTTTTTTTTTTACCAAATTTTCAATTGAGGCATCATGTTGAATAACCCTGATTGGTATTATATAATGATTATTAAGTATCTGCATGTGTAGCCGTCGTGATCTTATTCTTCACATCTAATGTTATCATTATGCAGAATTGTATGCTATTGGAAGTCTTGTTTATCATGTACATTGGCGCTTACATTAGTCATGTATGTCTCTTATTCTTCTTCTTCCAATATGCTAGCAGTATCCCCAATGAAGTCGTCTGCAATCTGCCGTGAATTTTGATTTCAATTCACTTAGTACAATCCAATATTATTAATGCATATCAAATTTACTTTTAAGAAATGAAGCATGTGTAATGATACAACCAAGTATTGAGTTGCCAATATGAACACTTTGGCTGTTCAGGACCATAAATTTGATGGCTTTTGAAGAATTGTAAAGTATGAACTGGTCCAAATTTACAAAATTAGATTACAAATATGCCCATCATAAAACATTATGTTGACGATTGTAGATTTATGGATATTTTTGTCTTACTTCTCTACACCTCGTGCAAAAATAAGAAAAACCTGCAAATACTTAATAAAAATGATATAGTAATAAGTAAGGTTGAATCACTCTCAAGTTAGATTCCGAAGATTAAATAATTTTTTTTTTCAAATAATGGGAAAAGTCTGCCGGGATAAGAATCCACCACAAACAAATTTCTTTTGTAATTCATTTCATCAATCCAATTACAAATTGGAAAGATGAAAGAAAAATATAAAATTAAACAACACTTGCTTATATAAGAGAGAACAATTTTTTATTTAATCAGGTAAATCTTTAGTAAATAGAAGTAGGCATTCTTTGAATTACCATTAATTGGCAAACACGAATAATCTTCTCTCTAATTTTTTTTTTTTTTTTTTCAATCAAATAACACAGAATATAAGAACAAAAAACATGTTCTAAAGGGGAAAATTAGAACAAAACATGAAAGAAATTCAATTACATATTAACCATGGTGGCTTCTTCTTCCCCTCGAGATGAGGTGTTTAAGCTAGCATATTAATAAGAAAACAAAATAGAGAAATAAAAACACTTTTCATTGAATAAAAGAAGAATTACAAAAAAAGATGCAAAACAATCTCACACCTCCTCTTTATATGTCTCTATTCATGGAGTTTAGAATGAGACAATTGGGAGGTTAAGTCTTCGAGTCCCTATCTTTTAATTGTACAATAAATTTATGAATAATGGTACATAACCAAACAAAAATTTTCTATCTTTTAGTTGTGCAATAAATTTATGAATAATGGTACATAACCAAACAAAAATTTTCGAATTTTTGCCAAAACCTGACCTGGCAAGGACACATAAGCTTATTTAAGCATTGTTTAAGAATGAAAATTCAATGTTTCTCTCACCTCACGCGCACGCTGTTTGGGTGGGTCCTTCTTTGTCTTCAACTTCCTGCTGCGTATATCATATTCTTAAGGCTGAATCGGAGCACTCGACGATAAGAGAGAGATTGTTTTGGCTTCCGTTGCAAGAGACGGTCTTATACCCATGAATCACTAACCAAAAAACAAAGTCTAGCATTCATATACGAGTTCAAACAAGCATAGATGTGTGAAACAAATATATAATTATATTAATATATAACTAAGAATAAACATTACAGTTTTAATAAAATTCTAGGTTTCATAATTCTAACCTCATACAGATCAAACACAGCATAATTATTATATAAATATATAGATAGAGAGAGGAGAAGATCTAATGAAAAATCTTAATTATAGATTTGGAAGCTTTGCGTTATCAAGTAACCAAGAGCAATGCCATGTCCACCATTTCAAATCAATTCCTTTTAAAACGCTATAATTTTTCTGTTTTAAGCTTCCCAAAAAAAAACTCAACAACAATTAATCTCTATTGCATGGTTTTTTTTTTTTTTTTTTCAACATCCAAGTCTATTCAAAAAGGCAAAATCAGCAGCGATGAGCCTTGAAAGGGATTATTTGGGCTTCCATAGCAACAGACTCCGCTTCAACGTCTGGCAAGAGACTACGCTTCGAAGGCGTCCATTGCAAGAGGGATTATTTGGGCTTCCATAGCAAGAGACTGCGCTTCAACATCTGGTAAGAGACTACCCTTCGACGGCTTCGTCTGCAAGTGACTGTATTTTCGCCGGAACAACATCTTCTCATGCTCCTCACAGTTGAGTGCTGTAATTGGATCTTAGAAAATTTAATAACAATTTGTGAGGTTGAAGACTCAATATTGTAATATTGTAGATGAAAGGTGGATGACCCACGCAAGCCCAAGTGAGGTGATAATGGATACACTTAAAAATTGGCCATTCGGTGAATTTTCGGGAGAAATCATTTGATTGCTCTATCATTGCTATAAATTTATTTAAGCACTTTCTTTTGGAAAGTTCCGTTAAATTGTGTCCATTTATTGAACTATTATTTGAAATGCATGCTCTCTAACAAAATACTACAACATTAATATTTATTAATTTATTTTAAAATGTTAAAAATATAAAGCAGAATATTTTATTTGTTTTAGAATATTAAAAGCATGGGAAGGGTTGTTTTAACTTATATTATATTTTTTAATTTATATATTTTTTCTTTTAACATGTTAAATATGTTATAAATATTCATTATTTTATTTATGAATCTAATAATATTTATTGATTTAATAATAATATATAATTACTAAGTTTTTTAAATAAAGACATTGACTTACCATTTATAAATAAATCATTACTCATTCTAATTGATCTTAAAAATTTTAATAAAATTCACAAAAAAAGCATTTTTATCAAAAAATGTTGTAAAAAATTGATGCATTTTGGGCGTTATCTGCAAAGTTGGAAAAAAATTCACAACTGTGATAACCGATTTGTAATGTAACGTTGATATAAGTCCAATTTCATTACATCACGTCCGCGTGCCAGGCTCTTTCTACGGGTTTCACACGGAATTTTTAGATCAAACTTTGGAAGAAAAATACTTTAAAGCCCCTGCATATCATCTTTAATTCTATGGACAAAAAAGATATCATCAAAAATTAATGATTCTGGCACCAAGTTGGGAGCATCTTTCATTTCAATCAAGTAATTTTACTTTTTACTTTTTACTTTTTATTTTTTATTTTTTATGTAGTAGTATGGGTGTGTATGTTTGCATCAGATCATGTTTACTGTGGTAAGGGCATTTTAAAAGGACCACTATATGAGCCCTAATCTAAACACCTGCTTGTGAAAATAATGAAATAGGACTACAAAAAGGCGGAGGAATCTCTTAGGCTTTATTTGGATACACAGGAGAGAAAAAAAAGGAAATGATTATGAGAGAAAAGAAAAGAAAGAAAATGATAGCTATAATTTAAATTCATATTTGAATAAATAGGAAAAAAAATAAAGGAATTGGCAATATTGTTGTTTGGATAACACAAAGGAAAGAAAAGAAGGGAAATGATAATAATGAAATTACCATTTTACCCTTTTTGGTAGGGTTATTAGGGCAAAATCATTTCAGCCTCCCTAATTGCCTCATCTCTCTATTCTCATTCTCTCTCTCTCTCTCTTTGTCTCTCTCTCTCCAACTACAATCTACAAAATCTACAAAAATCAGAATATCAAAACCCATGTCGGCAAAATCATTTCAGCCTCCCTAATCACCTCATCTCTCTATTCTCGTTCTCTCTTTCTCTCTCTCCAGCTGCAAACTACAAAATTTATAAAAATCAGAAGATCAAAACCCATATCGGCATATCATTTTAGATTGTTTCAAGAATCAAAACCCATATCTTTATATCATTTCAGATTGTTCCAAGAATCAAAACCCATATCTTTCAAACTTGCCCCCCTCTCTCTGTAACTGCTAACTTGTATAGCCTCCATCTCGTTCTCAGCCTCCCACACTCTCTCTCTCTCTCTGTGCAACTGTAATCTATATATATATATATAACCGGCTTCCCCTTGTGTAATTTGTTCCAAATCCCTCCAAATCTTGTCAATTTTGGAGGGATTCCAAATAAGGAATTTGGAGGGATAACTCCCAATCCTTTCTTTTCTCTCCTTTTCTTCCCATCCAAACACCCTAATCACTATTATTCCCTTTTTTTTCTCTCCAAATCCCTCTAAATCCCTCAATCCAAACGAAGCCTTAGGGTCTTCACTCTTCACATCATTCCACTCACCTTTCACACGTCAAAGTGAAAAACTTAATTTTAAACTCAACTTATTGTATTAGGTGGGATTTTTTTATCTTTTTAATTTTTGGCACCTAACTTTAGGCCTTTCCTTGCTACATGCTTTTAAAGCATTTCTTATAAAGCCTCAACAATCCCAAAAAAAAAAAAAAGAGAAAAAAGAAAATAAAAAAGAAGAGACACAAATCACGCTTGTACGTAGCATAAATATATAAAGTTTTTATGATGTCCATAATTCTAATCTAATTTTGTAAATTTGGACATCATAAAACTTGGGTTTGCAATAAAACGTGAATGTTATTAATTGGGAGAATTCTTAGAAAATGGAATTATGAATGGCTTATGCCAAAATGGAGTCAAAGTCAACTTTTTCAATATGATAGAATTTTACAAAGATATGTCTTGATTACAAATTGCCCTTCCTCTCTCTTCACCTACCCTTTGGTCCATTTTTCTCCCTTCATCTCTCTTTTAGGAAAACAATTACACCATTAACAGAGGTGAAAATAAGTACAGTCCATCAAAATTCCTCCTATGCGAATTTTTTTTTCCGTCATCGGCACTGCCGGTTTAGAGCTTCATCGATTCTGGTTGATGGTGTTATTTGGATAGGATCCCAATGGGAGAAGCAAGTCCGCAAGTGCGCAGACGACCGCCACTTTGGTGGTTATAGGTGTGTGTCTATATAAATCAGATGGTGCAACTATATTGTGTGAGAGACTAATTCCATTACTTCTACAAAGGATGTATATGCATACACATAAGTTTTTGAAATAATATGTTGGATATTTGAATGTTTGCATATATATAATATATATGCATATACAATTGGGTCTTTGAGGAAGGCAACATCAATCAAATTTTATTACTTATACAAAATATATACACATATGTATGCTTATATGTGTGCATATGTTTTATATATGGGCAAACTACAATGACCATCTCCCCTGAGGTTTGACATAATTGCAAGTAAACCTGAGGTTTGTCATTTTGTTACAAAAACCCCCCTTAGTCAGATTTTGATGTGAATTTACTTATCTACCCTCATTATTATATTGTTAAAAAAATCCTAAAATATCTAACTACTTTAAATTACATGTTTGCCCATTTTAATTTTAATTTTAATTTTATTTTATTTTATTTTATTTTTCTCTGTTCCTCCTCTCCTCCACCTTAATGCCAAACCCATACCCTACCTCCTCCCCCACCATCACCGGCCACAATTCTCCATCACAGCTACATCTAAAAGCACATATATATATTTATATATACATATACATGTATATAACCCAAAGCGGCAAAGGCCATGGCTGACTTCTTTTTTTTCTTATCTTCTCTCAGCCAAACCAGACCCACGCCCTCTCCTTTCACCACCACCACTCCCATCACCGCCACACCGGCAACCGTCGAATTGGGTGGATACAGAGAGAGGGGGTTAGAGGGAGAAGTAGAATTGCTGAATTTGGTGGCTGCTGGCACCGATGATAGAGCTCACTCACCTCGCCGTCGAACTGGCAGCGATCCAACCACTTTCGAGAGAAAAAGATCTGAAAACCAATCTTCTCGTTCAGACAACCCGAATCCACCACTTCAGTCATCCTATTGGCCATCTTAGCAAACCCTGTTTCAATTTGAAGTCTGTCGCTTCCAGAACTGAGGCTCAAGACTGACTGTATGTATCTCAGCAATTTATATAGACATATATATATGAGTACACTAATAACTGAAGTTCTCAGATAGGTGAGAGGAGAGAAAATGAGAGGGAGAGAGAAAAGGGCAATTTTTATACCTTACAACAAAGATTTTTTTTTTTTTTTTTTGGTAATTTGATGACACATTAAGGGTAATAGTGTCTTTTTACTTTGTTATAGGGCATTTTAGTCACTTCAACCAAATTTTATGACAAAAATTACCAGTTTTTGTATAGAGGGGAGGTCTTTGCAAAAGAAAATCAAATCTGAAGGGGTGTTTGTAACAAAATGACAAATTTCAGGTTTACTTGCAATTAAGCTAAACCTCAGGAGAGGTCATTGTAGTTTGCCTTTTATATATTAATGGTCTTTAGTAGTGATGGCTGGAGGCCATGGTGAGGAAGAAGAGAGAGAGAGAGAGAGAGAGTTGTGGCGGCGGTTGCGGAGTGGGGTATATATATATATATATATATATATATATATATATATATATATATATACCTTGATAAAATTATGGGCAATTTGGAAATAAAAGAATAATGTATAGTTAAATTTTCATTTTTTGGTCATACTTTGATAAAAACTCCATCATTTAAAAAAAATATGCCATTGACTATGTCATTTTGGCATAAGAATTCCATAATTCTTTTTTTATGAATTAATCTTTATTTATTTATTTATTTATTTCTGTGGAGTAAATAAGTTTCGTTACATATTAGTGATAAAATCTTAATAGGGTTAATTACAGTGATACTCCTTGCGGATACTTAGCCTATTTTTGAACAAAGACACTCCAGGTCAATTTTTTGAATTAAAAAGGTTGTGAAATGTCTAAGTTGCCCCTTATTATTTAATTAATTTTTAATACAAAATATCATACTTACTAAATTTCTTAAATGCCCATATCATTAGAGTCTTTGAAAGACAAAACCCAATTCCTAACTTATTTTGCATCTTCAAACCAATTCTTTCCCCAAATTCCAACACCTATTTTTTCTGATCTTCCATGGTCGGTGATGAATTATTTTTCCGATGGGAGGCCTAATAAGCCGCTGAGGGCGAGGAGCATGTGGAGTGTGTAGAAGGGTAGTACGAGGAAGAGGTCGACGGCGGAGGGTAAGAATCTAGACTGTTGTGGCCTCCATAAGAGGTGGCTGGTGGTGGTGAAGGGGTTGATGATCGCGCCGGCGATGATGATAAGCCAAATTGGCCAACCGGAGGCCACATGGTCTCAATCCACGTACTTCTACAAATTACCCAACCGAAAGCTCAAAAGACTTACCACCACAATCGTGAGAACTCGCCCTCCCCGATTTACTCAACTCGCTCCCACTCAATCCTCTTCTTCATAACCACTTGAAACCCGCGGTTGCCTCCGTCACCCGCAACGGCGAAGAGCACCTTTGCCTCTGTCACGTTCTCCATGTACTCATCTGAAAACCTACTCTTCTTTCTCACCTGACAACTTGAATCGCACTCGCATATTTCAATTATTTGGACCGGTTTATGATGATGATCAGCGTGAGGTGAAGAATGAGAGAAGCAAATATTTTATGGTTTTATTTACAGTGGGGAAAGAGAGATCAGATTAGATTGTTGATCAATCACATGGTGTATATGTGTATGTGAGTCTGTTGATCTAATATATATATATATATATGAATATATAAAGAATATTTTGGTTCATTGAAATAATTGTAAATATTAAAATTGTAAATTTATTATTTAAATAAATTAATTCACAAGGACATTAAAGTCAATTTATATCATGTCAGATCATTAAAGGGGTGTCACTATTAACTTTAGTACCCTGAGGGGGTGTTATGGTAAAAAAAATAAGGCCAAATTTTATCTGACTGTAATCACAGTGAGTGTTACTGTAATTAACTCAATTTAATAACACAGGACCAGCCCACCTAATGCTAGGGCCAGGAGGCCCAGGACTTTCACCAAATTAGGTTTTTTCAGACCAGTGTCAATTTGGGTCCAACCAAGCCCTTAAAGCCTCTAGCTGTAAAGCTGAAGAACCCTAACATCATACGGAGCTCCAACCAGGTTTAGGACAACACTGTTCATCCTTCAAACACTTTCAGAGAACCAGAGAGGGAGAGAGAATCGAATCACTACAAATCCATGAAGCTCCACACTTTACAGGCAAGTACTCATCTCTACACTCTTTGCTGTGATTGAAAGCATATATATATATAATACATCACTCTTATCTGCAAAACTCTCATCTGTTTATCTCTCAAGAACTCTTCACATCTCAACAAAACCCCAATCTCCCTTTTCTCTCTCCTCTTCTTCTCTTCCTCTCCAAAAACCCCCCATTGCAGTGGCTGATCACTTGATTGATAGACACAAATTTTCTCCTGAAACTGCTTCGAAAGTCTCTTCGGTCGTAAAGTATCTGAAAAGACTTGAAGATACCGATTCGATTCTTTCATTTATCCAGGAAAGTGGTTTTTCGGATACCCATCTCGAGATTTTCATCAAACGCATGCCTCAAGTTCTCTCTGCAAATCTTGAGCGCACCATCAAACCCAAATTCAAGTTTTTTCAGGACTTGGGTTTTTCTTCTAGCGACGTTGTGAAAATTGTTTTGAATTTGGGTTTGATGGTGCGCTCAAGATTTGTAGCATTGTGAGTCGGCTTGGCCCATCGATTTTAGCATTGAAGAGTGTTTTGGGTTTGCATATGGATGATGTGTCTAGGGTTTTAAAGAATTCTGACGTATTTTGACGCATGGTTTGGCCAAAACTGTGATACCCAATAATGAATTTTTGAAGAGTTGTATTTGTTGGTCGCAAATAACTCGACGTGTCTATACTTACCCAACAATTTTCTTGCATAAACCGACAAAAATTGGAGAATATGTCAAGAGGGTTGATGAGATGGGCATTGACAGGACGTCTAAGATGTTTGTTCATGCGATTCGGGCTATTAGTTTGATGAGTGTAGAGAATTGGGAGGTGAAATTGGAGCTCTTTAAGAGTTTGGGGTTTTCGGAAGATGACATTTTGTCAATTTTTAGAAGGGTGCCTCTGGTGTTTTCTGCGTCAGAGAGGAAAATTAAGGCGATAACACAGCTTTTCCTTAGCACTGGCAAATGTGATATCTCATATGTTGTTAAGAACCCAGATTTACTTTGTTGCAGTGTTGAAAATAAGTTTAAGCCACAGCTAAGAGTTCTGGAGGTTTTGGAAAGCAATAATTTGCTTCTTAAAATGCCAAGTTTGGCACCTGCATGCAGGATCACTGATAAGAAGTTCTATGAGAAATATGTACTCCCTTATTCAAATGAAGTTGGCGAATTATTCGTGGTTAAGAAGGCCTCATAGAATCCAGAAATATGTGCTTAAGATCATGACATCCTTGGAGGCAGATGGAGACTGACTTGGCAGCATAGCATGGCAGGGCAGGTAAGTAGGTACTCTTTTGCACATTTGTTTCTTGAACTTTCTTCTATCCATATGGTGTACTACTCTGAAAAACATGGATTGATTTTCCAGGTTATGGTCTCATTTTAAACGAGTTGAAATATATTCTCTTAATTAACAGTTGATTGTGTTTGAAATTTTTGAAATTTTCAATAGACACGATCATGTTGAAAAAACCGGAGATATTATATTTTCTCATTTTGTGCGCTAGGAAGTGCTTATCAAGTATCAGCGTGATCTTATTCTTCATTTTTAATTTTCTCATTTTGTGCGCTAGGAAGTGCTTATCAAGTATCAGCGTGATCTTATTCTTCATTTTTAATTTTCTCATTGTGCCCTGTCATTTTAAAGTTTTTTCCCTCCCTGTCAATTTAATTAAATAATTTTAATTATATTACTATGTATGTGTGTTTGTGAGAGAGATACAGATAGAGATACAGAGGATTTTAGATATTTTTTCTTTACTTGTTTGACAATGTTTAAGGACCATTTTTTTACTTCTCATTAGAATTAAAAAGAATATAAATTGTAAGGTGTAATTTGGCAGAGTTTGAGATGCTTCAAACCATCAAGATTTATTCAGTAGGTTACACTGTCAATGAAGCTATGTACAATTTTAAACTGCATAATATACTCCTATAACAGCCAAAACTCTACCTTAGTTATTTTTATTTATCGGATAAAGAACTTATAAAAAAAGAAATATATCCGATTAAGAAATGTGCGACTTAAACCTACAACCTTCTAATTTGAAAAGTGAGAAATCACCGCTAAATTAAAGCTTATTCTAAAGTTAGTTTTATGTGTTAGTCCGCCAAGGTATATGTATATAAACGGCTAACATTCATTGAAATGCTTAGGAAATCGACTGCTCCTTCTGATTTGATAAGTAAGAAAGCACTGCTTAATCAACATTCATAATTTAATTAAAGTTTATTCTAAGATTTTCATTATACATTTCTCCAAGGGCCTTTTACTAACGGCTAACATTCGCTCCAAATTTCAAATAAAGGAGCTTGGACAATGGAGTAAAAAACAGAGAATGAACAGCACAGAACATATATGCGTTTTGTTGCTGAAAGATTGCAGCACCCTCAAAAGTTTCAAGCAAATTCACGCCCATGCCTGCAAGACCGGCCTCGAAAACCATACGTTCGTTGACAGAAAACTCCTCTTTCACTGTGCCGTCTTGATCTCCGACACTCTCCATTACGCTGGCCGTCTCTTCCTTCACATTCCAAACCCAGATGTCTTCATGTACAACATCCTCATCCGAGGACTCTCCGACTCCGATTCCCCTCTAAATTCCCTACTGACATTCATTGAAATGCTTAGGAAATCAACTGCTCCTCCTGATAGCTTCTCTTTTGCTTTCATTCTCAGGGCAGCTGTGAACTTCAGGTTCCTGAATGCTGGGATTCAACTCCATTCTAAAGCTTTCATTCGCAGCCTCGATACCCATCTCTTTGTTGGGACAACACTTGTTAGCTTATTCTAAAGTTAGCTTTAAGAGAAACACACAGACACACTCACTCACTAGGGGCACTGACACTAGAAGAAAAGTTGATTCAAGCAGTTCATAAGAAATGCTAAAAGTCAAGCAGTTCAAGCACTTCTAGTCTGATCACATAGAAGATACATCTATTATTACTTATCAGTTATCAGAAAGAAAGAAGATATATCCAAGCAAGGAAATGCCTAATAAAGTTGGGTGAATACAATACTGTAAAATAAATAATAATAATAAATATAAAAATAATAGACAAGTCAAGAGTTTGCTTTAATGAGATTTTATTAGATTTTTTGGTATTTTAAAAAATAAAAATGTTAATAAATTAAGAGAGGGGCTTACACTTTTAAGAGTTATAACTCTTAAAACAAATAATAGTGAATAGAACAATAATGGACAACTTATAAGGGCAAATTTTGAAAAGACTTAGAGTAGGAACAAAATTCAAGCCTTAGGACTTAGGTCCAGCCCACTTGATTCTTGGGATAGGTAGGACTTTCACTCAAGCGAACATTTTCATACCTGTGTCGATTTGGGTTCAAGGCCATAAAAACTCTCAGAGCTCAAACCTGTGTCGATTTAGGGTACACTGTTCATCATTCAAACACTTTCAGAGAACCGGAGAGAGGGAGTGAGAATAATAGAGAGAGAAAATCGAATCACTGCAAATCTATGAAGCTCCCCACTTTACAGGCAACTAGGCAAGTACTCATCTCTACACTCTTTGCTTTGATTCATAGCATATTATTTGTGTATCTTCAAGAAATGACTACATATATTTGCAAAAGTCTCATCTCACTCTCTCTCAAGAACTCTTCACATCACAACAAAACTCGAATCTCTCTTCTCTCTCTCCTCTTCTTCTCTTCCTCTCCAGAAACCCCCATTGCGGTGGCTGATTACTTGATTGATAGACACAAATTTTCTCCTGAAACTGCTTCCAAAGTCTCTTCCGTCGTAAAGTATGTGAAAAGGCCTGAAGAGACCGATTCGATTCTTTCATTTCTCCAGGGAAGTGGTTTTTCGGATACCCATCTCGAGTTTCTCATCAAACGCACGCCTAGAATTCTCTCTGCAAATCTTGAGCTCTCCATCAAACCGAAACTCAAGTTTTTTCAAGACTTGGGTTTTTCTTCTAGTGATGTTGTGGAAATTGTTTCGTCTCACCCATGGTTTCTAAATAGTAGCGTGGATTATAGGCTTGGCCCGTCGATTTTAGCATTGCAGTGTGTTTTGGGTTCGAATATGGATGTGTCTAGGGTTTTAAAGAGACACGGGGGGCTTTTGAAGAATGATTTTGGCGAAAACTATGATACCCAATATTGAATTTATGAAGAGTTGTGGTATTAGTTCGTTGCAAATAACTCAATATATATATAAATGCCCAAGATTTTTCTCGTATAAACCGACTAGTATTAGAGAATATGTCAAGAGGGTTGATGAGCTGGGCTTTGACAGGGAGTCTAAGAGGTTTCTTTGTGCGATTCGGGCTATTAGTTCGCTGAGTAAAGAGAATTGGGAGTTGAAATTGGAGCTCTTTAAGAGTTTGGGATTTTCAGAAGATGATATTTTGTCAGTTTTTAGGACTACGCCTCAGGTTTTTACTGTCAGAGAGGAAAATTAAGGGGATGACACAGTTTTTGCTTCCCACGGGCAAATGTGATATCTCATATGTTGTTAATAACCCAATCATACTTACTTACAGTGTTGAGAATAGGCTCAAGCCACGGCTGAGAGTTCTGGAGGTTTTGGAAAGGAGGAATTTGGTTCTAAACAAGCCTAGTTTGAGGACTGTATGCTCACTGACTGATAAGAAGTTCTTGCAGAATTATGTACTCCCTTATTCAGATCAAGCTGGCGAATTATTGACAGCAAGGCCTCATTGACAGCAGAAATATAGTGAATTATTGACAACAAGGTCTCGTTGACAGCAGAAATATGTGCTTAAGATCATGTCTCATCCATATGGTGTACTACTCAGAAAAACGTCGATTAATTTACCACCAGGTGGCTGTCTCATTTCATTTGTGTTGAAATATATCCTTAATTTAATCTCTTTTTTTTTTTTTTTTTTTTTTTTTCAAATTTTCAATTGAGGCATCATGTTGAATAACCCTGATTGCTATTATATCATGCTCAAGCTTTCTCATTTTGTGTGTGAGTCCATGATTATTAAGTATCTGCATGCGTAGCCGTCGTGATCTTATTCTTCACATATGGTTTTATCATTAAGCAGAATTGTATGGTATTGGAAGTTTTGTTTATCATGTACATTGGCGCTTACATTAGTCATGTATGTCTCTTATGCTTCTTCTTCCAATATGCTAGCAGTATCTCCAATGAAGTCGTCTGCAATCTGCAGCTGCTTCTTGCTATAGTGAATTTTGATTTCAATTCACTTAGTACAATCCAATATTATTAAAGCATAGCAAATTTACTTTTAAGAAATGAAGCATGTGTAATGATCCAAATTTTTTTTAGATGTTGTCTGACATTGTTTAAGGTCCATTTTTCACTTCTTATTATTAGCATTAAAAGAATATAAATTAAATTGTAAGGTATAATTTGTTAGAGCATAAGTCATTTCTTTGAAGAAATTTACAATATGCTTCTAATTATCAGTATTTATTAGAGTAGGTTACACAGGCAATGAATCTATATGCTCCTATATCGGCATAAATTCTACAGAAGTTATTTTATTTATCTGAAAAAAAAAAAAAAAAACACTTGCATTTTTCCGTTTAATTTGCCCTAAACTACTTCTGTATGGAGTGGGTCCATTGACCTGCACCTCAAATTATTAAATTGTCCTGAACAAGAAGTCATTTAATGATTCAGGTTACCAAGACCATTTTTCAATTAAAATGAAACCATTTATCTATCGTTGTGATATTTGTTCCATGCAATCCTTCTGAACTAATAAATGTCTTTGGACAATGATGAAAAATATGGACAAAAGGGATAACTTTCATCATATAACCCATTGTTAACTCATGATGGATCAAGATGTTGGTTCTCTGTGTTTCCACACTAAGGTTATGTTTGTTTAAACGTAAAATATTTTTTTTGAGAAATATATATTTTTTCTAGGTAAAATATTTTTGTATTTTTATTTTTTTGATGTTTAGTAAATGTCTGGGTTGAGGTTAAGGGCGAGTCCATCAGTAAAATAACTTGTCGAAAATTGATACGTAAGTTATTTTTGTTAAATTTTAAATTTTTTTTCCTTTGTACATATTTTACAACAATCAAACACCAGAAAATAAAAAAATATATATATATTTTTAAAATTGATACTTTATATTTTTGTTAAATTTTAATAATTTTTGTTCTTTGTAAATATTTTATAACAGCTAAACACCATAATTAAAAAACTTATATTTTAAAAAATATTTTATATTTAAACAAACATAGCTTAAATGTAAGCATATCAGACATGCCAAATGAGTAATTATAGCCAGAGTGAGACGATAAAAAAGAGTTAAAATAACTATGAATTTTTTGCAATGACCATTAGATTGAGAGATTTGTTGTTAAAATATTCTATTTATGTTTGTGTTAATTACAATGACAATTCTTGAAGTTTGGATAAATATCGCATAGGGATACTTTTTAAAAATTACTATCACTCACGTCATAAACTTTTGTTCTGTTTTTCGATCCAGCCGTTACTTTTTAGTGATGTCAGACAACTTTTTGCATATAAAATGACATTGTTACCTTTTGACTTTGTGTTGACTAACAAAATGGTTGATGTATAAATTAACATTTTTTCCCATTAGTCCAATGTAATTAAATATAAAATGTATTTATATATAAATTTTAATTTAAACATATATGTTAAGAAATTGTATATTTAATTTTTTAAAAATATATATAGTATTCAATTTCATGTCTTTTAAATGTGTTAGGGTAAATTAAATGTGGTAATAAATATGTATATTTATTTTAAAAATATATTTAATTTCAATGTTAAGAAAGAGAAAAGTTTTCAATATCTAAAAGGAAAAAGTTGAGAGAGTTTTATTAGATCAAAATCATGCATCATCTCTCTCGTCGGGTCTAACTCCAACTAAATCCCAGTTAACCATAAACACTAATTAATTGCAAAAAATACAGTAATCAAAGAAAGAAGAGTTATATGGAAATTCAATAAGTTCTGGCGCCATTAATTTTAGCTAAACTAACAGCAACTGTGTATTGGAGTGTCAATGACTAGACATAGAATTGCCTAAACCAACCAAATGTACAAATTCCCAAATTTTAAAAAATAAGAAAAACCAATAGCCAGAGCACAAAATTAAAAGTATCAGTCAAACTAGTACATTACTACCACTAATCGATTCATAGATTCAAAACCACTGCTAAAATAAATAAAATAAAAAACAAACCCACATGACCAAATATATGTTCAATATTCATATACAGATACAGATATAACAGCAAAAAATCAAATTTTGATGACTTAGGATTGCGGTGCGCAGAACATGAGTTCCATGGTTTCCGGCAACCAAAGATTCTGGCGAGATTCGGATTCCGCCACCACCATCATCAAAGTGGACATCTTTTCTTTGTGGCCTTTTTTTTGCTTTATCTAATCTATATCTTTCTCTGGTCAAAAGAGAGGCACTGTTGATTTCATCATCATCTTGATACATCGTGAACATGAAATCTTCTTCTCTAATACCAAAGTTCACTTCATGTTAAGCTTAAAAAGAGTGAAATCATTTAAACCCAGATCGGAAGAGATAATAATATATAATTTTATAAAAAAGAAAAGAAAAAAGAAGAGGTAATTAAAAGTGAGAGAAGACAAACTACCCAGCAGTACTCAAAATGAACAGTACCTACTAAATTCAACGAATTATGATGCCCACAACAAGATTATTTCATATCGCTTAGGTTATGTTTGGATAAATATGAAAGAAACGAAAAGAAAGAATAGTATTAGTTAGGAGAGAAAAGAAAAAAAAATGATAGTAATAATTTTTATTCGTGTTTGGATAGATAGAGAAGAAAGAAAAGAAATGATAGTTATTCAAATTACTGTCCTACCTTTGTAGCTCACTAACTTAAATGTTACATGTACTAAATTAAATGTGTTTCTTTGGTGATCAACTACCAATTATATTCAAAAAAAAAATAAATGATTAATACTTGTACGAAGAGAATCAGCCTTACAGCAGCAAATAATTTCAAGAAATCATTAAATTGTCTTAAAAGTCCTCGTGTAGTTGTGATCCCTTCTTGTGATTGTATGCCAACCTGAACCCTGTAAAACTGTCCCTTAATAGTGTTAAAATTGAACACACTTACAATTGCAGTAGTATAACTAGAAATAAATGCACATGAATGAGTTGGGTTGAAACTAAAAGTTGTTAACTCCACCAAGTATAGCTTTACATTCTCGTTAAGTTATCAACATCCCATGAATTCCAGAATGAAAAGTAAAAATAAAAGCAAACTAATCAATTGATAATACTTTTGGTACTCTTAAAAGCTAGCAATTAAGAATATTTTGGACATTCTTAAAAGGGTAGCCACATTTTGCCCAGAAATGGCAATTAGATATATTGACTTTGTCTCCATGAAACTAAAGTATGCAAGATACAAGTGGGCCCGAGATCATGTGTGCATTAATGCATGGTTTGGATGGTAAATTGTCTTTCCTATATGTCCCATATACTTTAAAAGAAACCTGTCACTAATGCATACAAAAGACTCAACCCTGCTAAATTCAAAGCATGAAATTTCTCAGAAAAATGATAATAACAAACTTAAACATCCCCTCCTATATGTCCCATATACTTTAAAAGAAACCTGTCACTAATGTATACAAAAGACTCAACCCTGCTAAATTCAAAGCATGAAATTTCTCAGATAAATGATAATAACAACTAAAACATCCCCTTAGCATAGGACAGAAGACAAAGTCTCCTGCTCCTAGATAATATCCACATATTGTGATCGGTATGCAAAACGGGAAACGAAGTAACAGAAGAAGATATGTATACATCATCTACTGGTACAAAATAAACAGAATTAGAAGTATTATTTTTACTTGGAACTACAAGAATCTTATCCCTTTTCCCATCAAACAACACATTCAGACAAACTTCCTAAAGAAAAAAACACATTGCAAACTTGGAACTACAAGAATCTCATCCTTTTTCCCATCAAGCAACACAGCAGTAGAAGGAACACAACCACATAGCCACCAGAATGAAACTCACAAAATGCTTCCACCACATAACAGAGACACCGGTAGTGAAAAAAAATAAAATAACCCATATCAAGCATTCCATAATAGATAACAAGCAGACAAAAAAATAAAATAACCTGTATCAAGCATTCCAAAGTAGATAACGCATTATAATGTCTCATTAAAATAAAACAAACATATGGTCTCAAAGTTAATATCCCAAAAGTTTCATAGCGAAAGAGAAACATAATATAACCAAACATAGAAATAGTAGAAAGTTCCACCAAAAGACATCCCCAAAAGATAATATAACTAAAACTATAGTTAACGTCTAGAATCATCGGACATCAATTCCTCCAAGAGTTGTTTGCGATGATTAAATGGACAACCAAGAAATTGTGTCATTCTATCAGGATGGTTATGCTTAGTCAAAAAATGAAAGCTTTAACAATTGCATGCTCCTCTATTCCAATTGCTACCAACTTCTTAAAGATTTCTTCTTCACATTTTCCCATTTGGTTGCACTTCTCATAAAGATTGTTGAATGTTTTCTAAAGATCATTTCCCTCTTTAAGAGATTCAGCAACACCTCTCACTATTCCAATCATTTCATTATCTTGATCAACAGTCAAAGATTTCCCCCTTTTTTTTTTTTTTTTTTTTTTGAAGAAGAAGAAGTGGAATGGGAAGGTACACTTGAAGGTGTTTCAGGAGACATCATATTCATATTTTCAAACTCAATATCCAAAAAAACCCGTATTATCCAAACTTGCTTCATTCCGTGACACCAAGTGATCAATACCATAAATGCTATCCACAAGATCATCATTATGAGTTGGCACCCATTCATTGCTCCTCTCACTAGCACTTGCTACTGATTCATTATTATTCTCCTTATCATTTACTGCCCATTTATCCATCATCTCCTTAGCAGTTAGGGCATTAAACCCCATTGCCCTATCCTTGGCAAATAAATCCAGCAACTTATCATAATTGAAAATCGTAGCAGTCTTCCATTTCTCAGCTGCTGGTTTTGCCTATTGCCAAAACATAAAAGAGAATATATATATATATTATCATTATTTCAAAATGAATAAATAAATAAATAATGTATCTCTTAAAAGTAAAATAATAATAATAATAATCACAATTAGAAAACCAACTGCAATCAAATCAGCCCAAACTTTTGGTTCAGTGCTCCACATTTTTGTTTCTTGACTCCAAGCAAACCCACTCAAATCATTTTTGAACAAGTTAAAACACTCGTTAAAACGAGTCTTGGTTGTTTTCAATCGATTCTTCACTTTATCTTTGTTGATATCAATTCCGAGTTTTTGTTTCAATTCTTCAACAATTTCATGATAAGCTCTTGTTGTGAATGTCCCATCAAGCATATTTCCCTTGAGATATTGATTATGTAATGCATCCACAAATATATCATCCATTTGTGCATTCCAATCCAATCTATCCTTCTTCGACACACCACTTTTGCTTGATTCTTTACTCATTCTTATGTCTACATAATAACAAGTATAATACAAAGAAAGAGACAAAAAAATAAAGATTCAATTAAAGATAGATAAAAAAAAAATGTATACAAGGTAGGAGTTTATAACAAGTTATTAGCATTCTACATCTCCAAATCAAAACAAGCACTCTAACATAAAAGACGTTAAGTTTTTTTTCAAGAAAATAAACATATGAAATATCACATTTGATTAGCTACATAGTCATGCCACATATGGGAACTTATTGAATCTCTCAAGTATTCCTCCAAACTATGATCTTCACTTCTCTCAACTGGACCAGCCTTTTCATTTCGAGTTTCATTCAACAGCTCTCGGTCTACTTCATTAATAAGGCTTTCATTAGGATCCATGCCCATTAAAATAATATCAACTTGAGTATTAACATCATGTGTTGGTTCAGTACTGCTTCCTATGATAGGAAATCGTTTCTTCAACACACCAAAAATTCTCTCAATAACATTGCGTAGTGATGCATGCCAAAGGTTGAATAACTCTCGAGGATTCTACGGTCGGCGTGAGGACCATTCTTTTAAATGGTAACACACACCTCTATAAGGCGTAATAAGTCCAGTCTTCAATAGGTATCCCGCATCAACAAGATAATATTTCCCTATTAAGAACAATAATAATTAATATTGGCTTCATATTAATAATTTTTTAGTTAATATTAACAAAATTTACCTTGAGGAAGTTTTAATTTATCTCCATTTCTTTCTAGTGCACTAGCCAAAACTCTTGAGTTTGAAGCGGTACCTTCCCATCCAGGTAAGACATAGGTGAACTTCATGTCAAATGAACAAACAGCTAACACATTTATTGTTGGATAATTCTTTTTACCACGATATCTTGGTGCATCTTCGTTAGATACTCTCACATGAACGTGTGTTCCATCAATTGCCCCAATGCAATTCTGAGATAAATTATTATATAAAAATTTACATGTAATAATTGGTGAGAAAAGAAAAATTGAAGTATTGAAGGGTATAAGTAATAATCACGTTTACCTTAAAATATGGATGAAACCTATCGTTATTGAGTATTTCTGGGAGGACGTCCAATCCATTAGGTTGCTTGAGGAACTGTCCTTCCAAGGATATTATTACTTTTAACACACTATGAAAATGACGGCTTATGGTTTCGCCAGAGCGACAAAAGAAAAATGACATTGTCCGATTCCTCACATTGTGTGATATAATGTGAAGAAACTTAGCAACTTGTTCTTCAATACTTGCATGTCTTATGGGTCGAAGACCACCATCTCTCATAAACAGTTCACAGAAATTTTGAAAAGCTTCTGGTCCCATACGAGTAATGTTACGACATTTCACACTTACCCTAAGCTTGTTCATTAGTTTATCCCGTGTTATTTGCCTTTCAATTTCTGGTTGTGTAATAGGTTTATCTATATAGTTTCTACGTTTTCGACGCATGAACCAATACACGGCAATGGTAATGACTAGAGTTGCAATTTTACGTCGTCTTTGTTCCCACATTAAATGAAATTTTCGTATCTCATTTCGTTGTCTCTCCATTTAAAATTGTAAAATGCAAAATGATATATTAATAACCAAAAAAAAATTGAAAGCAATCAAAATTGATGAATAATGACCAATGACAACAATTATAAAAGACAACAATTATATATGCTAAAGAATTTTCATGTCTAATTATTATTATCTAATAATTATTTTCATGACTAAATAACATATGTTACTTCTCTAATCTTCTTTGGTCTAAAGCACACCCAATTTACATTGTGTACTAATAGGAAAAGCTCTTGGTTGACGCTAACAAGGCTTTAGAGAGGAAGGTAGAGAAACAACGCGTTATGCTTAAATTTGTGCCAATTTAGGCTTTTGAGTTTTGGTTGTAAGTTATGAAATCTTTTTAATTTTTCATAGAAATGGTTGTTTACTGGTGTCTAGAGTGAACTTGGAACATTTTCTTGAAGGTGATCGATAATCTTAAATATGTTCAACTATACAATACTTGGACTGATACAGGAAAATATGGTACTTGGTGCTAAAAGATAAACAAGCATTTAGGATATAAAGATAAGTAAATTTGAATTTAAAAAGAAAATCCAAGGTTCACACTTGCAAATACGCAAGTATTATTGAATGACGACTATGATCTATTCTAATAACATGAGATAGATGTCAGTTTGTCACATAGATAGTGGGCTCCTGATGCAACAGCATGATAAACCCACAAGGTGGCTTGCTGATACATGTCAACATAAAGACAAAGTCAATTATATACTTTGATATATAGATTCTAATGCATTACATGTTTTACTTAATAAATTCATCTCAAATAATTCAAGAAATCTAGTGCCCTGTATGATAAAAATACAATCCCCAAATTTTAACTTGCCGAAATGATAGGATGTATGGTCCTTGACCTTCTTTAGCTAGCATATACTTCATGACTTTACCACTTCATTCATCACTTGAGAAAAAAGAAAAAAGGAACACAAGAAAGCACCAATATATTATTAATATATAGAATGCACACTAGCAATCAGGATCCATTCCCAGAGTATTGGTACTGATGCAAATTGAGTAAGCAATATCGATACTCAATAAGTTGAAAGCACATTCAAATATTATTAGGAGGTCTTAACCAAGCATGTTTATTCATCTGAATGAAACCAAAGGTGTATGGGTGTGGAATTCCAAATAATAGCAAAAATACATCAATTCTATATTTGACCACAAAGCCTTATCCCCCACAGTTGGGGTAATCAACAAAAACTCTGGGTCATTCAGAAAAAGGGTGAAAGTATTTTGCAATCATTTATCAAGCTAAAAAATGAGCAAATTAAAAATTAGGGTTTACTGAAAATTAGCAAGAATAACAAATCCAAAAATTGATTCAAAAACATCAATTGATTACAATAATACTAACCTGATATGATTAGAGGAAGATTTGTGGTGATGGCCGAAGCTGGAGAAGAGAAAGAAGCAGTGTCGCCCTTGCCTGAAGCTGGAGAAGCGAAGGAAGCAGTGTCGCCTCTTACCAAAGTTAATCTGTTGTTACCCTAGTAAACCACGTAAGAATAATATGTAATTGGGACATAAATGGAATTACTTTTCAGTATGTTGATTTCTAAAGGCTATTTTTGGTATTTTAATTTTACAACTTACTCCACTATCTTTTCTCTCCCTATCTTCTCAAATTGGGAGAGAAAGCCAACAAGTGATAGGGAGGGGCTATCCCTCCCTATCTCTCCCTATCCTCTCTTTTCTCTTACAATAACCCACCTAAACACACTCTCACACTATCTTCTCTTTTCTTTTCTCTCCCTATCCTTCCAAATCAACCCTACCAAACACACCCTTAAAGCCATACCTAGTATATAGACTGTAGAGAGGAGAGAGAGAAAAGCTAATGAGGGCAATATTTTCTTTTAAATTTGCCCATATATTAGATTAAAATGGATTAAAAAAATAGGGGTAAATTTGTCACTTCACATATTTTTAACGATAAAAGTGACAGAAAAGTGATTTGGAGTCAAGTGATGCTTATCTTCGAAAGATGTCTCTATCTTATATTTGTCTAAACCTCAGAGGATGTCATTGAAATTAACCCTTTATGCTGTAGTTAGGGCAGCAACTCGGGCGGGCTTGACACTCATCTCAAGCTAGGCCCATATAGGAAATCTTCAGTCTAAGCTCGCCTAAAGCCCAACCCATACATAATTTGTGTAAAAAATGGATCAAATAATGCTACACCCATGACTTGAACCTGAAACCTTAAGCATAAATCCTAAGGACACTACCAATATGGCTACTAAAACTCATGTGACTTAAGTATAATTATAAATATATATAATATTTTCGGGCTTGGGTTGGGCTTCGGGCTTCATCCATATCAACCCAAGCCCAGCCCGAATTGAATTCGGGCTTAAAATATATTGCCCAGGCCCAAACCAAAATTAGAAAAACTTTGTCCAAGCCCACAAAATTTTGGGTTGGGCTCGGGTTATTTCAAGTTGGGCCAGTCTGAGTTGCAACCCTACCTTTAGTTTAAAAAATGTGCAAATAACACCCCTGGTGTTCAAACGTCACCCCCTAGTTTCAAAAAAGTGCAAATAAGGGCTTTTTGTCAAAGGGGTAGGTAAAAATACGAAAATACCCCCAAATATTCTTTATTCAATAAAAATAAAAAAATTGGAGAAGTTGAAATTACCCAAATAGACATTGACCAAAACTACGTCGTTTTCGGTAATGAAACATAACATACGCAAACTACGTCATTTGGCTAATGAAACACTAAATAGGGTTAGGGTTATCCAACCCAACTACACGTTATTCTCCATTTACGATCTCATACCAACACACAGCCCCTCTCAAACATAGATACCAAAGACGAAGCAAACACAGTCATTCTTATAGCTTGATTGTGGATGATCCCTAATTTCTGGCAATTAGGGTTTGAGATTAAAGACGAACTTCTGCCATTGAAAGCAAAAAACGCGTTTATGAGGTTAGGGTTTTTATGTTTTCGCGTTTCTGATTTCTTTCATAACGATAAAAGTTAGGGTATTTATGTTATCGCGTCTGTATATGTGTGATTCAGTGGATTATATAATGTTATTTTTATTCTTCTATTCAATAAAGGGTTTTATTCGAATCTGTGTGGTCCCCCTTAGGGTTTTGTGTCGATTGTCGATAAATTTGGGTTCCACGTGTCTCTATTTGCTTTGATTTTAGTTAAATAAATTCCACTTTGCCTTCTTCATGATTATTGCAATGTATTGTATAGTTCTTTATTAAAAAGTAGGGTTACAGTTTGAGATAAAAATGAGGGCTTTTTGCCTCTTCTTTTTTTTTTTTTTTTTTTTTTTTTTTTTTTTTTTTTTTTCCTTGTTTTGGCCTCCACATGTCTAATAAAGTGTTAAACTGACTTGAAACTTGTCTAATTTTTTTTTTTTAATAGCATTTGAGGTTGGTTCTGTTAATGTCTTTACACTGATATTAGTATTCTTTATTATCATATTGTGTCTGCATATGCGTGTAAAATATTGGGTATGTTCTTGTCCTTATAGTGTATGTAAATAATTTGTCTGTACATGCATGTAAATAATTAGTCTGCACATGCATGTAATTTGATGTTAATTAGTATTGTGTGTTTAAATTTTTGTAGGTGTTATTCATAATGTCTAAAAAGTATACAATTGAGATGCATTATAATGGGAAATTTGATAAGGACCACTATTACTATATTGGGGGGAAAGTTAATGAATTTGATAATTGTGATCCTAATCATATGTCATATTTTGAAATTGAAGATATATTGAAACTACTGAACTTAGATCCCAAAAGTGAAGTCTATTATAGAGACCTTAGTAATGGAATCCTATGTTAATAGTCTGTTGGAAATGTTTGTAATGTACAAGAACTTTTCATTGATGAAGGTACTAGTAGTTGGAAGTAAATATATTCCTGTTGCTGATGTTGATGTGTCAACTGCACCTGCACCTCATTCATCTGCCCATTCCTCTTCCCATTCACCTGCACCTGAGAGTGAGGATAACAATGGTTGTTGACCTTAAGGAACTCATCCAAGGACAATCTAGATATTTTGATGATAACATCCCACTAATGGTGTTTAAGGACTAATATTTACATTAAGTGTTATAGATTATTCACATTCAATGAGTGACCTCAATGAAGCACTAAAGATCATTCCAAGAATTCCATTACTCAAAATCACATCTATGGAAAGTAAAGAGGACAAAGGAACTTAAAGTTGCAAGGAACCAAATGCAAAGTCCATCTAAAGATAGCTTGGACAAAAATGAGCAAGAAAGTAACTCAAAGAAAGGAAAAAAGTAAGAATACCTCAAAGCCTAAAAGATCATGAACAAAGCTTGAAGAAAGGGGTAGATAGCTTGGTGAGTGCTAGCTTAAATTGTAAAGGTATTTTTGAAATAACTTCATTTGAAAGCTCATCTCTATAGGACCATACATATCATACATCATTCATATGCTCTTATATCCATTAGCAATAGACTATGCACTTCATTCATATATATTGACATATGAAGTTTTTGCTAAGAAAGAGTTAGTTCAAGCTTGCATAAGCTTTGAATGAACTCACAACTTAAGCTAGAAATGTTAGGACCATGCACATTAATCATAAGATTTATTTTGGTCTCTAGAAAGTAAAAGCAAGGCATTGAACTTAATCTTTTATTTTTTAAAGCCTTTGCTACCATGATTTGGTAAATGACTATAGGACATAATACACTTGATATTTATCATCCTTACATGTCCCTAGACCCTTAGAAACTGGA